CAAAAATAGTTTCCTTTTGGTCCAGCCTCTGTGTGGATCAATAGTGTGGATATAAATGTTGAGTTGTGTTTGAGGGCAACAGAAACCTTTGCGGGAGCTAGTTACTACAATCGTGGGGCGTGGAGGATTAGTTTTATTATTCGTTGGTCGGTACCCATTTTCCAATGAGATTAGTCTAGTTTCTCACAAGCATTTTCAAACCACTCTGATTTTTACGAAAGATTCAGTTGATTCCAAACGAAATCTCTCGTTTTTATTGTCTTGTGTCATCAAATAGCTGAATATGCCACACATATGGTCGGCGGAAACTCGAGAAGTACGCCTAACCGGTGAGCCCAAAGAACAGCAAAACCGGTCATCGGCTGTTGACGAGTTTTCAGCAACCTAGTGAGTAGTCTCCTTCAAGAAAGCAGTTTAGCTCTTTTTTTCATAAAGGAAACTACTCACAAGGTTGCTGAAAACCCCAGCTAAAACGGCTTTCAGTACTGATGTATGTCGGGTATCACGAGCCCACCACCGGTTGTTGGTACTCACCCGAAATGACGATGTCATATAAGCAGTAGCGTTGCTCTCAATGTAACCCCTTTATCCTACATTGTCCGCCGCCATAAGCTGTAGCAACACAAACCACTGTACCTACAAACATGTTTGCCAAACTGATCTGAACTCTCCATATAATTTGTGAGATCAAGTTTCCATTGAATGGAAGACTGGACCAACAACAGCAGCTGCTAAGTGGTGCAAAATACCCTAATGGAAAACAGCCTTCGAGAAATGTTCAAATTGAAATACACCAAGGGCGCATTGCACTATTTCACGCCCCTTTACAAAAGGATTAATTAAGCTCAGCACATTCTTTAACACACTTGGTACTTTTAGCGTTCGGAATCTTAAATGGCTTCATCAGTGTCGGAGCAGATCAACTTGTAAGGTTCTAGAAAGCTACCCGGGGCGCTTTCATTCAATGAGACTTATGTTAGCAGGGATTTAGTACCATCCAAAATGCGCTCGATCACTGTCCTAATCTAGAGGAAATCTTCTTGACTGGCGGTCAATAACGAGCATCGTAATGATGATGAGGGCGGTAACCAAGAGGATGGCGATGATGACAAAGTAAGTATGTCTCTTATCCGAGATCGATATTACTGGGTTTGCGGCTTTCTGAGTGTACTTACAGTTTTATGATGAGATCGGAGAGTGTTGTTGATCTAATCTGCGGAATGTTGTGTAACCAAATGGCTGTTCTGTTTCACGTCACAGTTACATCTGCCTTCGCAACTGTAATGTGGGTGATGCGCAATCAGTCCAAGTAGATAATTTGCGTAAAGTAAAGCCCCGACCTCGGTTGACACCTCAAACTAATGAAATAAGCATGCTATCACTGAAATATCTTCATGGACGTTTCTTCGCATTCCGGAAAACTCGGCCAACACTTTATCTACCGAAGCTTTTGCGTCAAAAGTCAAAAATTTATCCACTGAGGGTTTTTTTCTACAACCAAGACTTCTCAGTCGGCTCTAATCGTTTTCCAGCTGATTAGTTTATCTTGTTACATTGAGAATTCCCTGCAAGACACACCGGAGTAAAGAGGGTTCACACGTTCCTGGTTGATGTTCCCCGTTGTGAAAATAATCATGTTCCCAAACCACCAAAAATGACGGCGAACTTATAAACCCAAGTTGACGTTTCACCTGTCCAAAAGATATTCTAGTGTTTATCCACCATGTGAAGAGGTATGCAGTTCATATCCATTCATGGCCGCGACCTTCCGAATTCAAACCGAAACAAACTATTACTGATGAGTCAGTTCCAACTGTCAACAGATCAAAAAGCGGGAGGAAAACATTTCAGCATGTATGTCAGCAATTCGTTTGGCCCGGGATGCACCTGACAGTTTTATACCGTAAACGGCGTCATATTGCCTGTCGCGACAAGGGAATGAACTCGATTTTTATGTATGTCGTGTGGGAATAGGTGAAAAGCACCCTCCTGTTGTCCGGGTCGCTCCGTCGCATGCACCCAAACACACCTGTGTGTGTGCAATCTAGTTGCTGTGGTCATTTTGACTTGCGGCCGAAAATTAACAGTAAAACCAAATGCTTTTCTGTAAAATTCGAATGGATTTGTCTGGTCCGAGGATTGTGCAAACGTCGATCTGTGCGCCTGTGTGCGGTGCGGTGCGGCGCGTCTGTCAAAATTTGTAGATCGAATTGACATTCACAGGTGAATCATATTGTCCAACTCGAGGGTTAAAAATGTCGTGGGCCAGGTGATTGGGGTGTGTATGTATGCGCATACGGAAGGTTGACAAAATTCTCCCTGTCCACCTATGTGCACGTATGGACACAACAACTAAACGTCGAACCGATAGTCACATAAAATTTCGTTTCTCGTTTTTCACCAACTTTTTTCGGGCTTTCAGCAGTGTGGTTGAAAGCAGTTGCCCGGCTTGGTGCATATGCGTGCGCGCACACACACACAAACAAACAAGTCCGCACCCTTGCAAGCGACCTGTAACCAAAGGGCATCGCCGTCGTCACGCTCGTGAACATCAAGATAAGTTCTGCCAACTTCGGTTCCAATGCTGCTGTCACTGTGTCTACATCTGTCTACATCGCTTTTGGTCACCTGGTCGTCATACCTCCGAAGCACCAGCAGCGTACCTGTAGACGAAAACCATGGGCCGAACGAAAGACTGCAAGACGATTGTCAGCGGTACACGCGTCTGCAGTTTGTCATCCAAAAAGTTCGAACTATGGTAGATGGCCACAAATTCGAATATCGCCTTTCTTCACATTATTCCTTTCTAGCCCATGCGCATGCATGCGTGCGCTCGTATTTGCGCGTGCGTGCGTGTGTGCGTGCGTGCGTACGCACGTGCGTAAACGCACAGATAGTTTGTCATTTTGCAACAATGCCTCGTCATAAAATGGTTGGTAAACTATTTGACTCCCTGTGCGGGGGACGTACAAAAAGATATTGTATCTTATAATGACGGCTAAGGACTCATGGTAACAAGAACTACTTCCGCTACCTACTGACCCGATCTACTGATAGATGGAGTTGGATTTTCTCCACAGCTCTTTTTTTAACATATAAGGGTCAAGCAACTTGAATCCCGAGAAATGGTAAAACAGCACGGTTAATCAAGCATCCCTACCTAATCGGGCGTGCGCATAACCTACAGTCATCGGTGCG